ATTTGGATGTGCTGCGGAGTCAGCTGGAAGCCGATCCGTATCAAACCACTCGTGGACTGGCAGTCACTCTTGGGGAGTCGGTCCACAGTTAGGATTGAAGTCAATCAGCAAGGTGCGAAAACTTGGTCGATGGGTACACCATGCTTTGAAGCAACATGACATGTACTGCCGCGCCGACATGGCAATTTCTCTTCTCACGCTCAAGCGCAGGAAACGGTTAGATGTAATCGTTAGTATGTATTTGAAAGAGCTTTTTATACTCTATCTAGCGATGTCTAGTGCGTCCATCTTCGTCATCTCTTCCCTGAGTTATGATCTCTAGAAGTCATCACTATCACATTGTCCGAGGACTTATGACTCATCTAATCTCTTGCCATCATTTGACATTAATGTGCTGCTGAAATCGCCTGCTAGGTTAGGGAGGCACAGAAATAATGGGAAATTAGCAAAAACTATTTTGCGGCAGCCGAAATATTTCTTTCCAACCAATCTGTGATGAAATGTGATCTCTTACTTTCAATCGAAGGCTGGGATTATCTGGGCCACTTAAAAATAGAATACATCCATAAAAGTCGTGTCCGGACATCGAAGGAAAGGCTACATAGCGGTTGGTGGGAAACGTCCTAGAAGCAATGTAAAGTGAGATTGTTTCGATGCCAGTAATTGAAAGCTTGCCCAAACATCCAACTCTTTTCGTTGCTCTCGCACGTTTTCAGGAGGTAGTTCGAAGTTAGACACCCGTTTTTTTTGTGGAAGTTTTCCCTTCGATTTTTTTCGCAAGCAAGTTTTTGGGAGGAGCTACGGTGTAACAGCAAATGAAAAGATATGGTGATCAAGAGACAAAGTACCAAAGATGTATATAGCAACATAGTATTTCAGTCCGACGGAGTGTCGTGGTGTAACATCGATGCTCAATGGTTTGCTATTACAAGCAGCTCTTGTTGTTGGTACCATCCTGGCAATGCCTCAACTGCTCGGGAATGGCGATGATTGGTGGAAGTTGTACGCCTTGGAAATGGCCATCACTACGATTGTCATGATTCTCGTAAGATTCATCCACGAAACCCCAGGGTAAGCACGATTCCCCTGGAGGCACAGTTCATAATAAACCTGACGATTTAGCCTAACTGAAATCGGCGCATTTTGAGAAATAAAAGCTGTAGAGAAGGGTGTTAATGAGATTATGCTTATGTATCCGCCTGAGTGTCTCCAAAAAACGTTCAATTCGTCGGTGTCCTAATGCTTCGTTTTGAATCCGAAAGCCGTAAGGCCGTCACCACACGGCTGACTTTAGGTGTGTACGTGGGCCAAGTCGGTTTTGGAGCCTTTATAACACCTTCTCAATGTCGTTTCGCGACCTGGCAATTTCCACACGCTATTCTCAAAGGGCACAGGTCATTCCCAAGGGGAAGCTTCAGAAAGCTCTTCTGAGTTGGGTGCTTAATCTTTTATTGTTTTACGGAAACGACCTTTAAAAATATGCAAAAATATAATCCTTAGATGTCTTTGTTGGATTTCACGGTATCTTACTTGAGTAGATGCAGTAGCCAGTAAGCTGTGCACATGGAACTATTGTGACGAGGTGGTTCTTCTTACAAAGCTGTTTTCATAACAGTTTGCTGGTTAGTGAAAATGAATAGATCAACAGTCTCAGATAGTAACTGAATGGGTAGGTGTCTTTGTTGAAAATTTAATCAGACGCTGGTGGCTGAGACTTCCTTCTGTGGATCAAGTTTTTGAGAACATTATTACCTGCATTTCCTTTCACCTCGACACTGAGCATTTACATAGGCTACATATTCCCTTCAACACCTACAGAACCCCTTCAATTGCTTCCAGTTATCTTCATGGCAATGATGAACATCGTACTGAACGTGCTGTACGATTCTATCACAACATTAGTGGCGATGCATTGCAATCAAGGTTGGAACAGTTGGATCAGGACACTACTGAAGTCCAACGAGTCGGGCTTTTTTCTATATGGAAAGTGAGTAGGCAAATTTTACCAGAAGAACAATGCTCTAAGTGATGATTATTCCAGAACCCGATGGCTCGACTTGGAACTCTTGTAGGTGGAGTAGTTGGAGTGTCAATGGTCATGAGTGGAATAGCAGGTAGGTCTTGAGCCCCTGCTTATCTAACGTTTTCAAGATGACAAATTTTTCAGCCATAAATGCTTTCTCATTTGAAATGTTCCTATCAGCTGGTTTGACCGTTCAACAGGCTTCATTTGGTAATATAGCCGTCTGTTTAACTAGTGTGGTATGTCTTGAAGTTTCCCGACCTTAAATCTAACATCTTCAAAACGTTTGCATACTTGGCTCCACTTTTTCCATGGCATTCCCAATCAAACATCCTATTTTCATCACTGTGTTTATTGCTTCCTTGAACTCTTCACGAGGTTTGTAAATATCCTTTATTAGGCTCACGTTTCGGCGAAATCGCCTTCTTCATAGCCTGAAAGGATCATTACAAACTGTGACTAACGTCTACACCAACCCACTCAGTTCGAGATTCCCAGGTACGCAGGTGATCGAAATGAAAACCACTCACCGTAACTTTGTAGAATCCTCGAACCACCCAGCAAGCGATGGACAACCGACCGGTGTAAGCTGGGGTACGGCCTCATTAAATTTTCAGCAGGAAGGCCAATCTTATATAAAGCCGTAGCTCCCGCGTGATTGCGAGACATTCTTCCCTACGATTCATTTTGCGATTGGTGACCTGTATCCAAAATGCCTCGAGGGTTTTGCGCGCGCACAATTGAGACTCTTCGGCCTCAGGCGTAACATTTTCAAGAGGTCGGGAAGGTATTTCGCACAGACTAGAGGCTTGGCTATGGGGCAGCGATTGGCACCTGTGTTGGCCGTATCGTTTATGGCCAAGATTGAAGTGCCTTACTGAAATATCAGCCCTTACTTTACTGCAGATATATCGATGATTGCTTCATAGTCTGTGCGACACAGGAAGAAGTAGATGTGTGTTTCGACCTGCTAAATTCACATTCAGAACACATTAAGTTAACACGGGAAAACCGACCGGAAATTGGCTCCCTTTCTTGAACGTACAAGTGAGACTACGACGCGATATGATTGTTACGAAGTGGTACAGAAAGCCTAGCAATATGACCATCATTGTCCGTTATCACTCAGCTCACCCTTTCTACATAAATGGAGCGGTCGATAGGAATATGTTCCGCACTGCTAGGAACGTTTGCAGGATGAGCGAAAAGAGTCGCGCGATATAGCTTGGCTACTACAATTTTCCAACTACACGCAGAGCTTCTTCTGTTGATGGGCACTATTTACCCTTTACTACCCCACTTCGTCGAGAATAGGCTTGATTTCTATCGAATTCCTTCCAAAAAGGTAAATCCAGACTAGAAACTTGCCTAAAGGGGAAATTTGACCTTATGAACACGAATTTCGCATTCATTCGTCATGGAAATGCCTAGCGCCGCTTTTTCCCACGCTTTTTCTGCGTGCCATTCCCATGGGACCTCGATAGAGCGCGCGTCAGAACGATGGCGCGTTTAGGCGCCTGTGGCGCGAGCGCTAGGCATCTTCATGGCGAGTGGATGCGATATTCGTGATCTACGGGTCAAAATACCCCTCTAGGCAATTTCTAGTCGGTTCCATGTTCTTGAAAAAATTCGAGAGAATCCAGCCCCTTCTCGGTATCTCGATTGAAGGAAAGACTCCTTTTGTATTACCATTTACTTTGATGAGGTCAGTGCCTCCATTACAAAGTGTCTAAAGTGACCGGGTTTGGATAATTTAGATGCTATTGTAAACGTACCACCCTTCAATCTAAAGAAGCATCTGGTGCGGAACAGGCTATACAATCGCCTGTGTACAACCTCAAACTGTGTGGTTTGTCCAGCTCGAAGGGAAGGTGATTGTAACATGTCTGGGGTGGTCTACAAAACTGCCGTGATTGTGGTGACGAGTATATTGGAAAAACAGCAAGTCCACTCCACTTGAGGGTCACGGAGCCCATAGATGATATGGGACGATTGAAATAGTCTACTGCCTTAGGAAGTCACCGAGTTCAGAAGCATAACGGAGGCATTTTTGGTGTCACCGTGGAGGTCGTAGCACGAAAGTTGATCGAAGTCACAGATTGTTATGATCCTTTCAGGCTCTGAAGAAGGTGATTCCACCGAAACGTCAACCTAATAAAGCATATTTACCAACCTCGTGAAGAATTCAAGACAGCAATAAACTCAGTAATGCAATTATGATGAGGTTCATAGAGAGTCGTACATGAATCCTGTTTTCAGTTCGGAACATTGTTCTCGGCTCTGATTGTTGATCGCGTTGGTCGTCGTCTATTACTTCTTATTACATATGGTTTGCTAGCTGCCACTAATCTCATCATTGCTGGATTGATGTTCGGCTTTCAGCGAGCGCAGGTGTGATTACACTTATGTATATATATATTTATATTTATAAATATACATATACATATAGCCTCCTTCAATGTGAGGATAGAGAAAGTGATTAGATGTATTTTTCTGGGTTACGAGAGGGTCCACACTTTTACTTCACACTCTTCACGCGACATAATGCACAGTTTTTAGTTGACTGCTTGATCTGCTAAAATCTTTTCTTCCCACCTGCTTACATTATGAGGGAGCCGGAAAATGCAAACCCGGCCTTCAACCAGAGAGGGTTAGTAACATATGTATATCAGTAAGGATCAGTAAGATCTGTATGTAAAGAACGGTTTTGTATCTCACCTCTTCCTGTGAGAGACGTTTCTTATCGCCATCGATGAGAAACGAAGAAAAGAATGTGCCTTTATAAGCACAGAATCCTATAGTTGCCGAGATTCATCCCAAAATGTCATGAATGACTGCAGATTTTGATAAATTTTGAATTATCTGCCTGCTGTCGGGGAATACAACTCGATATCGACATCCTTCATTTGGGTTCGCCCATTCTTTGCCTACTGCCTCCCTTTGCATTTAAAACACATCTCTCTCATTGTCGAGTTAGAAGGGAGCACAGAAGTTCGAGGACATTTTGGTTCAACTTAGTCAATCGAGAATTTCCACCGTCAAACCCTTGTAGACCAACTACAGGGTACACTATAAATATGGTAACAAAAGAATTGGTCGCAGAAACCGCTTTTCGTATTGTTACATGGTGAAGTCATGTGAGTTATTCACTATGCATCGCATCTACAAAACGAGCTCACAGTGATCTTATATAATCGTCTCCTGTTCTAGTTATAGCTGAAAGACGCTTCGACTATTCATTGACGGTGGCACGCAGAATTCCTTGAGATACTCCAACCCGGGCTTTTTTCAGTGATTTCTAAGTAGCAGCGACAGTAGTGCGTTTTGTAGCGCACATCTCATCTCCAGTATGGACTATATCAAGCGTCCCATAACATTGTGGTCTGGAAAATTCGTAGGATTGCAAGCTGGGGTAAAATACGAACATTTTCTCAGCACCAGTCTTGTTCTTTTCCCTTGCATGAGCAAGTGCGCCGCAGTTTTCAAATCGTACTGCTAGAAAATCTTCGACCCTTTTCTGCATCACTTCAGAAAAACTCTTCATAAAGAGGTTCGGATTGAATACTTCGCATCTTTTTGTGTGATATTCTAGCCTCAAGACAAAATATTAAAAATGTAAATGTAAGCCCACCTATAGTCAGGCCACTGTAGGATATCTGCAGTGCACCTAACCACCAACTCCGTGGCCCATGTGAACGAGAGCTATATGCAGTGCGTAGTCAAATGATACAGCCACCCCTAATTTCCCCAAAAACTCACAGTATTTTATGTTTTTGGAAAACTGCCAAAGTAAAAAATGTGTCAAATTCGAATTGCAATTCGCACATCATCTCCAAATTCCAGCTCGAGAACACAAACATTTTTTTGGTCAATTTTTCAGTAAGGTGTGCTTTTCCAACGTCGCCAAATGATACAGCCACTTCACGTCTTCGTGTCGTTTCTTAGTTCAACGCAACGATAACGTTCTTCACTTTCAGGCAAGGGAAGAGAAATTTGCTTTCGGAATTCGAATAAGGTCAAATCCTCGCGAAAAAGGAGCAGGGACTGTCAAATCGCGCGAAATTTGGGTAGATAACATGCAGTTTTGGATAATATCGTTTAAGTCCTGAAGCCGATGATAAAACAGAAGAAATGCTACACGTCCTTCGCTGCTTTCTAACAGAGACAAGCGCCGTACTTCGAGGGAAGCGTCGAGCTCCACCCAGTCCTGTATGGAAATCCGTTCGTTTCTGTCAAAAGAAGCACTGTTTAAAGGTGATCAGAAAGCCCAAGTTCATTTTCTAGCGGAAAATGCGTAAGGCATCCTTTCTGACAAAAAACGTCGAGGAAATCGGGTCGCATTCGCCAGACGGTGCAGCCGAACCGAGTGGAATAAGGTGTTCTTCATGTACTGATATTTGACCTTCCTTCTCTTGATAATTTTTGTTCTTCAAGTCGTTTTTTTCCGATGAAAAGAAGTTCAATTGTGATGGTCCAGACGGGAACCGATTTCACTGGCACGATCTGAGAAAAAAGAAACTTCAGTTTTCTAGACGCAACTTCAAGGGATGAGAGTAATGGTTTGCGCCGCAATTTCATCGAGTAGGCATACCCGTTTATGATTTGTATCAAAGGAGGTGAGCTCATCCTTTTGTCGAAATGCTATGCGCCGTGCACTTCTCTCTTCTTGGCGTCAGAATCTGCACCGAAATCTTATTTTTATGCGAGATAACGCTCCAATTAACGTCAGCAGGAGCACCCAAGCTTGGTTCTCTCGGCACTTCTGCCCTGACCGGCGAACAACTCCGGTTTGAATTTGACGGAAAATGTATGGGGCTTCATGGTGCGGAAGATTTACGCCTAAAACAAGCTGCTCCAAGGCGTCAAGGAGTTAAAAAAGCGATAATCGAAGCATGCCCAGGAGCTGACCGATAATTTTTTATTCGAGCTCAGACCACCGTATTATCAAAGTAATTCGGAAGAATGTTTGGTCAGCTGATTATTGACCTTGCAGCTTTCTCTCCTTGTTGTATGTTTGTTGTAATAAATTGTTTGTTGTAATAAATTGTTGTAATAAATTGTAATAATTTTGTTAGTGGCTGTATCGTTTGGCGACGTTGGAAAAGCACCCTTCAGTGGAAAATTGACCAAAAAATTGGTTGTGTTTTCGAGCTGGAATTTGGTGATAATGTGCGAATTGCAATCCAAATTTGACACATTTTTTACTTTGGCAGTTTTTTAGAAACATCGTATACAGTGAGTTTTTGAGAAAATCAGAGGTGGCTGTATCATTTGGGGACGCACTGTATTTATGTGTGTTACCCGCTCCTAGCAGCGGTCTGCCTGTTCAATCTTCTCTTTGCCGCAGGCCCTGGTCCGGTAGCATTATTCTGCTGCAAACGTCCAAGACAGAGCATCATAAGCTATCGCAGGATAAACAAGCTGGGGCTACTATTCGGTTGTTAGTAATAGAAGGGTTGATAAAATGTTTGAGATCATACAATTTCATCTTTTCGAAGGACTATTAA